CCCACACTGCAGCGCAGCCCAAGCGCAGTCGCTGCTTACTGCGCAGATAGCAGAGGGCAGATACTTGAACATATTGATATGGTTCTGAAAGTTTCATTAGGGTTGTACGTCTAGAAATTAAATCATTTAACAAATAAATTCTTATAATATTGCCAACACTGCAGCGCATTCAAAGCGCATTCGCTTGTAAATATGCGTGTGCGAATTATTATTTAAATTTCATTTGCTCGAAGGCTTCAGGGTATCTCGTAGTTGAGCAGTTTCGACTAGAGCTTTCTTAGTTGTTTATGTTTACTATCAACTTTTTGTATTTCAATTAAAATTATATCATAATATTCATATGTCATGATTTAGCGTTCTGTTGTGTTAATATTTTTAGAAGATATGGATTAGATATTAAGATATTAATTAACAACGAAGTAAGCAAGAGGATGATCCCATCGAAGTCTAGGTTACAATTGCAATTTGACATTGTCTTCAATGTTAATGAACCTGGAGACAACCCTCTGCTTCTTTTAAAGTACGTTATATACATACAAAAAAAAAAAAAAAAAAAAAAAAAAAAACACAATACGTATTCAGCTTTTCTCTTTCAAAAAAGTTATAATTTATAACAAAACATAAAATGTTATATAATAAAAATTGTGTTCATTGTGCTTAAGATATACATGTTATTTATACAGTTAGTAGTGGATCCAATTGTTATTTAATCTTTTTTTTTTTACTACCCCAAAGAGTCATAGAATCCATTATATTACTATAAGTTTGAGCGACTTTTTCAGCTTGGTTTAAAATACTATTATGATTATGAACTGAACCCAATTTAAATTGGAAATCCGTATATACAAATATGTAACAGGCAGAAGTAGGCGTGACAGATCCCACAAAGTATGTATATTGCTCAGGATGACGAGCTGAGTCGATTCCAAGGCTCGTATATTACACGCATTATCTACTCTCGATGTTTTTTTTATTTATCACTGAAAGCCTTTTCAAAAATTAGTTATTTAATTATGTCTCCTACACCTTTGGAACTGGAGTCTCAAATTTTAAATGTGGACTCATATGTACTTTATAGAATTTCGATATTTTTGCAATTTACCCTCACCCATAAATTTGTAAAAGCCGTATTTCAAATACTAAAGACTTTTGCTTTGGCACATGCACCCGTAGTAAGCCCACACTGCAGCCTATGCGTGCATGCGTGTGTGTCTGTGGCGCGAACGATTATTGAAATATCAATTCTTCGAAGGGTTTGGGGGCTTCGTGGTGGAGCAGTTTATTCCATTACAAACTCTAAATACTACATTATACAAACTTTTCACATCGAAATCGTTAAATAAATATTTATATACTTATTATGAAAAAATAACGTTATCTGAACACATTTTTCAGGCAATCTATGACATGCTAGGCGCATGCTCATCAAATCGTCCCGCTGATTCAGCTGAGGAGCGAGCCAAAAATATATTTGCTAAGATGGATGAAAATAACGATGGTCAATTAACCCAAGATGAATTTTTAAAAGGATGTTTGCAAGATGAAGAGTTGTCTAAAATGCTGGCCCCTTAAATATTTATATCCTATAATATGTGTGTATTTGATGAAATCAGTAATAAAATGTATAAATATTTAATTTATAAATCTTATACTAAAATTATATAAAATATTGAATATCACCTAGTTTGTTTTAATACTTACGTAGTGCAAATTGTAAAAAAAGGGGAAGATTTCTCTAGTGTCCTTTTTCTGAATGCTTGCTTTCTTTTAGCAAAGAAGGTATATATTTCTATGAATCCAAATTAGCTAATAAGGTTTCTGGTTTTAGATTCAAAAGTTATTTCACCATGAAGATTTCTCCAATTGGTAGACAAGTATTTTTTTTTATACCCGGAACCCATTTTTAATGGGAAATCAAGGAATAATGGGTTTGTGATAAGTATGTAATAGGCAGAAAGAATCATCTGCGATAATTCATCTGCGATAATTCTTTCTGCCTATTATAAAGTACATCTATTCTTGATCAGGGTGCTTAGCTGTTTCTATATACTTCTGTCTGTCCGATCGACCGTATGGGAATGTCGATATCAGAAAATATAAGAGCTAGAAAGCTGAGATGTTGCCTGCATATTCGTGTTTACCATACGCAGTACAAGTTTATCATATGTTTTTCTCATGCGATAACTTTTTTATCGAGAATAATCGAAAAATATTTTGTTGTTTCTGCCTCATTTAAATACTATTAGCCCTGAGACTTAAGATTTACTATGTATAACCATTTGATGAATACGAAATTCTGAAATTTACCAATTTTTGACCACCACTCTCCCTTTCGCCACCTATTTGTAAAAAACGTATTTCAAGTACTAGAGACTTGTGCTTTGGAATTTACTCACATTACAGACTCTTGATGGATATTGTCTTACTATAAGAGAAATTGCTCAATAAGTATATTCTTAATATATTGCCCACACGGCAGCGCAGTCGCTGCTTACTACGCAGCTTATGTGCACGTGTGCGTGCATGTGTATGTTTGTATACATAAAACATATACAGAATGATTAGTATATCAGGGTATCTCCTAGTCGAGCAGTCTCGACTAGAGCCTTCTTACATGGTAAACTTATAGCAAAATTTAGGATCCATAGTTCTTTAAGATACCTAGCAGAACTTAAGTATTGGCGGTAATAACATTGTACACATACATATTTATTTTGTCTGCCCAAATTTATTTTTCAAGAAGGCTTAGCCTGCTATTACATGAAATCCTTTTATTGAATACTATACATAAAACTTGTTATGTGAATCATTTCAATTATCAATTATCAATGTAAAACATTAATAACAATCGTTGAGTACGTTGCTCTCTGAAACAAGCCCTAATTGAAATGATTCATTAACTATTGCCCATAAATCAGCAACATTATTACGGGCCTAACGACTTATTCGAAAATCCATTATTCTTTCTCTTTCAAGAAACCACTATAATGAAATCAGCGTCAAAAAATGGGAAAGCAAAATAGTAAACTGAAGCCTGAAGTTTTGGAGGATCTGAAACAAAATACAGAGTTCACAGGTAAATTTAGAAATCTATTTACTATTTGTATACCCTGAACCCATTGAAAATGGGAAATCAGGGTATAATGGTTTTGTT